TGCTGATCAATTAGGGAACATGCTCATTTAAAGTTGTGTAATGCTCCCTTCTAACGTCCTTTGGCAGCTGCCTGCTTTCTCTAATGCTTGCAGGAAGATCAGCCCGTTGGAGCGAGCTGGTGGGGGCTTGGAACCAGGGTGGACGGGCAGCCCTCTATCAGCTCCCTGCTTCCCTAAGTTCCCTGTGCAGCAGCTGCCGGCAGTTCAGCTGTGTCCCTCCCCCCACTGCCATGTGCTGCTCCTGCCTTCTGCCTTGGAGCTGCTCCCGGAGACTCCTGCTTTGTATGCCAGGGGGGAGGGAAGGAAGAGGGAGGGCTAATGTCAGGGTGTCCCCCTCCCCCCTGCACCCCACTTACCCCGTCTTCCATAGAGCGGGGGGACATACCAGGGCTGCAGTCTCAGCAAGCTGATCTAATTAACAAGGCAGTGTACTTAAGGGAAATGCGCATACCTCCCCCCATTCCTGCTGCCTTGCAGAGTGAGAGAGTTAACCCTTGAGGGTTCAGCCAATTGCTAGTTCATCATTTAGCAGTAAGGGAAACATCCCACCCTTTGACTCCTCCACCTCAACCAAGCTTCACATCATCACTGTGTACCAGTATTAAATTGTTTGTTTAAAACTTTTACTCTCTCTCTCTCTCTCTCTCTCTCTCTCTCTCTGTGTATTAGCCTTTTGTCTGGTGAAAAAAATTCCCTGGAACCTAACCCCCTCATTTACATTAATTCTTATGGGGAAATTGGATTCGCTTAACATCATTTCGCTTAAAGTCACATTTTTCAGGAACATAACTACAACGTTAAGTGAGGAGTTACTGTAGTTTCCCTTTGACTATATAAAGTACACGATTGGTTATTATGGAATGCATGTATCATACGTGGTACTGTATGAGCTCCCTGATGCTGTTCTCTTTAAATAGGCAAATGACTGATGAATAACTTGTACTGCACTTTCAATGTGAATTGTCCATGTGATGATGATCTGTGCAAAAAATGTGTAGTGTGATTCATGAACATCTTCACAAATACCCATGACTGCCTGAATGTTCTCAAACAGTGCATATGACCTCACAAATAACTGCAAATTGGACTTGTTGCTTGTAATTCATTAATCATTCTTAGTATTATTCAATTGGCTTTACTCCTTAGCACAATGCTGAAACAGTGAATCAGCTCGAACTCCAAAGGAAAAGTGCCATCTAATTGAGTTATCAAAACAAACTCTTGCAACCTCTTGGTTTTTCTTTAGTGTCCCATCCAATTACTCATCATACCTAACCCTGCTTAACTTGTGTGCTTTAATGAGATCACAGCTGGCAGTGGTATGGCTGTGTGCCATGTGCCTTCATTGAGTATTCATTTAATTGTTTTCTAGGATGGAGCACAAAGTGGTGCCAGAATGAAAATTTATGTGCTGAATCTTGAACTTCTTAATCTGTTTTTGCTCAGAGAAAACTTCCCCGGGCAAATGGAAATTAAAGTTTTTAAGAAAAATAAACTTGGTCCAGGAGGAACCTTCTCCTCTCCATCTTAAATTCATTAAGAAACTTACAAAAGAACCAGTTTGCACAAAATCCTCTGTGGGATTTGAGGTGGAGGTACAAAGCCCTCGGAGGGTATGATGAGAGATTGCTCTCTATGGTTTAGCAGCTCTGCTCCATGGCCACTGCAACATGGCCCTGTCTCCAACCTCCTCCCTGCTAGCAGTATTACTATTGTAACTGGCCATTTTGTGAACTGTGCGAAGAGTTGAGAATGTTGTGGAGGTGGCTTCTTGTGCATCCCTGGTTCTAGGTAACTTCTGAGGGGCCTATCACAATCTCACAATTGTGCAAACCTGTGTGGGTGAAAAGGTGACAAACCAAAGAGGAATAAGAAATGAGCTTCTTCCTTAGAAGATGATGGATGAATTCCACTCTAGATTATTGAAGAAATTTTTTAAATCCGTAAATGTCAATTTTTTACCTCCACACACAAACCAACAAAGTTATAGGTTGGCAAAGTAAGAAAAATGCTGCTTGAGAACTTATTAGTTTGAATTAAGGCTATTTACTTTGTATATCTGTACAAATGATGTTGACAATTTGTGTTAATGATTATAAAGCTTTAACTTTTTGAATCTCAACATCTGTTGTCATTAAATAATCAGTGTGACCCCCATTCATCCCTTAATTTATTGCAATTGTGACAAATTGATTAAAAATGCTTAACTCATAATTTTGCATACCTGTGAAGACAAATTGATAACTGAAATAAACATCTATGCTATCCATCACTTCTATATAATTTAATTCTACCAAGCCTATTTACAGGTAAAAGTGAGGTATGATTAGAAAAAGATTTCAAAGAGATGATGAAAGAATGTAAGGGATTAAACTGTAACAAACCTTAGGACCAGAGGACATTCATCTAGACATTTAGAAGGAATTTAAAAACAAACAAAACAAAACCCTAAGTGGCAGAGCTACTAACAAAAATATTTAGTGGCTCATTTTAAAAGAGCCATGTCCGGGAAGAGGAGATGAGGACTAGTCCTGTACACACATCTTTGAACAGGTGCTAAGACTGATCCCCAAAATTATAGAACATGGACCCTTAGTTGAATACCAGAGAAAACCATTACAGGAAAACTATAAACAACTGGATGAATATAATAGGGACAACTCATGTCTCTCTACCTTAAAATACTTTGAAAAAGTTAATAAAATTGTAGAGACAGAATCAGTGGCTATGGTTCATCTCTTCAAAAGTCTTTGGACAAAGTATCTGAGGGCTAACTTGCAAAAGGTGAAGTCCTGTCATGATTTAAAACAAGTTGACAGAGGTAAAGTAGGAATAAAATTGTCTTTTCAGAGTAGAAATGTTTAATAAGCAGCTGCCAGAGAGATCAGTATGACTTAATATATTTACAACCCCAAACAGGGGGCTGAAGTGAAAAAAATTGCTAATGGTACAGAATGATTTATTTGTGTGTGTGTGTGTGGGTATGTTTACAAAAAAAAAAAGCTGTAAGAAACTGAAATCACAAGGAAACTACCCAGGGCCATTTCATAACTTTAGTAATGTCAGATAAGCGACAGGGAATTTATGCCTTTCTTTGACACATCTGGAATTAAACACTGTGGGAGAAAAGATAAGTGAATAGATAAACCAACACTCTATTCCTATTTAGTAATTTTGAGTTATTTCTATGCAACTGCAGTGACTTTTTTTTTAAGTCTAAGTGGGGTTATACAAAATCTACATGAATAGGTTTTGATAGACTTTGGTACTCTTCTCTTCAAAGAATGTATACAAATAGAGCAATACTTCTCAAATGGATTAATCACTGAAACTAGGAAACAGTTTTTTGCTGTTTTTCCCCTTGACATTTGTTTAGTGTGGTTCTTAACTCAAAATCTGAGATTCAAGGTGTAATGCTTAATGAAGAATAGTCCGTCAACTCATATGGTATCTTTTCCTGTTTGCTGACTGGATAAACAAAAAATCAAGTTTCCAGCGAGAATGGCTCCAGAAAATGAATCTTAACATTGCTTTCCTAGAGTATGAGTGTGGTGTGCGCTTAAAGCAGATTGCCTAAATACTTAGGGAAAGTGAATGCACTGGGTGCGAACAGGGCCACCGTGAAATTGTTTAAAGATTCTAATGAATGCCTGTGGAAAACACTTTTATTAAAAATCGTATTTACCCAACACTAATAAATCCTTTAAGTGATTTCTTCTACGGACAAAACTCCCAATGGCATTTTCACCTCCTGAATAAGGACAGCTAGCTTTCCTGGATTGGTAGCGGAGTTTGCAATTCAGCCTGTGTCGATTCCTTATTCCAGCCCCACACCCACTCTAGACACAGAACTGTTCACCACCCACTTGTCTGCATCGGGTGAGATCTGAAATGTTATGCACACACGGAGCTCTGAGCGATGTCTTTGCTCTTTCCCTTTTCTTTCCTGCTGCTAAGTTAAAACACAGCAAACTGCGAGAAATCCCTTCAGAAAGGAAAGCATTTAAGATTTCTAAACCAGATGCAACCCTCCAGGCCGATCTTCGACGCAGGGCTTGGCTGTTTGCCTCTGCTAGCTGTTTTCAGCTGAAGTTGAAGATAGAAATTCGTAATACAATTTCCAGTGCCTGGACATGACGTCTTCTTGCAATAAGTGGAAAAACCACTAGAGGTGAATATCTGATAATCTCTCTCCCTCAGCCCCAGCAAATTAAATGCTGAAGTCAAACAGCAACGTGTGGAGAAAGCCCTGCCCTTAATTGTACCTATTGAATTGAAGCAATCGAGGGCTATTTTCGTTCGTGTATCCTCTTTCCCCGGTACCTGGCAAAATGCATAGATTTTGTTTCTCGAGTTAAAAGGGCTTATTGTACCTTATGTGATCACTGAATAAAGACCGAGGTCCCTCCTGCCAATTTGGTGGCGTTTGCAAATCTCCAGCCTCCTTGCAGCTTTTAAGAGGAAAAAGAAAGTCAGGTGGCATTGTTACAGGTGCTGTAGGTCTCTCCCTTTTAAATGAGATCTGGCTGCAGAGACTGGAGTCAGAACAAGAAATCTACAGGAGAACGGGGGATTCATGCCCACAATTAATGTTCTGTGAGCAGCAGAACCAGACCCGATCGTCTGGGGGGAGTTTTGCCAGGCTCCGGCGGTGTGTAAAAGTGCTTCGCTTTTGCTGGATATTTTGTGTGTCTGGGAGGTGGCGAAAACTGACCCTGAACTAACACAGAGAAGCTCCCGCTGGGTAGCGTGAAAGAGACGAAATAACCACTGCCGGAGCGGTCGCCTGCAAGCGTGATCCAGCCATTCCAGCAGCACGCAGCGCTCCAAGTAGAGACTGTGCGCCGCAAAGGAAGTGCCTCCTCTAGAGGAGTTGTAACTACCTCCTCCTCTCCTGTCTCTTACGCACTCACACCTTCTCCCCCAATGCACTTGTAAAGGGGAATCATCTGACCCCGGGGAGTGGAGAGGAACCGGGCAGATCCCTTGCTCAGGGCGAGTTTGCACAGAGAAAAAAAAGGGGGAAAGTTTGCGTAAAAAACCTCCTGCCCCTCTCCACCAACCTACCCTCCCCCCTGTCTGGACCAAGCAGTCCTGAAGTGCGTACTCGGGGATTGTGGGTTTAGGCTCGACCCGTGGCGGGAGGTCGGAGGAGAGTCAGGCAGGCTGCCGGGGTGGGCACAGCAGGGATCGCACGCACGGCTTCCCCTCACACCGGCTCTCTCCCCTCTGTGAGTGGCATACCCTGTGCGTGCGCGTGTGCCTACGGGAGGGAGGGAGCCAGGCGCAGGCGCACCGTCCGCCCGTCTGCAGCCCGGGCGCTTTCAGTGCAGATCACGGGGAGTTGATGGCAGCAGCGCGGTGCAGCCACCCGGCGGAGAGCGGAGCGTGGCGGAGCCCTGAGCCCAAAATGTGCGGGGAGGAAGACAGCGGCTGCAGCAGCTCCGGGAGCCCGAGGGACGGGACCGGGCACCCGCTGGTTACTCAGCTCTCCTGACCTGCATACCCCCTCCCCACACATCGCTCCCCCAAAGAATGTCAGCCAAGTCCAAGGGGACCCCCGCCTCCTCCTCGCCACCCGAGGGGCCGCCCGCAGCCTCCAAAGCCAAGGTGAAGGAACAGATCAAGATCATCGTGGAGGATTTGGAATTAGTCCTGGGGGACCTGAAAGACGTGGCCAAGGAACTCAAGGAGGTGAGCGGCGTGGGGCAGCCCCACGTTCCCGATAGGGCGGACAGACTTGCCAACTCTTTGGGAGCCAGAGAGCGCCTCGCGAGAAGCTCACGGGGCTGGGCACAGGCTGGTTACACTTTGTGTTTGCCAAGGGGAAATCAACTGGTGTCTCTGCGCGGGGGGTGCAGAAAGCCAGGCAGCCCCTGTGGTGGCTGGCTCGGTGTGTCCCAGTCAGTTGCTCCCGGTGCTCTCCGGAGAGCGATGGAGACGGGAAGGCGCGGAAAAGGCGCTGTTGTTTTTGTGAATGATGAATTCAAGGGAAATCTCTTTCTGGAGTGGGGTTTGCCACCCAGTAGCGGCTGAGAGGGGGGCTCTTAGGCACTTGCGTTCAGGAGTCTCTATCACCCCCTCTCCCCCCCGCTCACCGGTTTTCTCTGTGTTTCGAGGGGAGGAGGGAAGGGGGATTATGATTCTCTAGCCCTTTAAAGCAAAGGGGTCTGTAGGTATTTCCAGACACACACACACACCCATCCATCCCTGGGGATTCAGATTTGCCTTTAGCTACTCTGCGAGGGAGAGGCTTGTGTCCGTCTCTGAGCTGATGTGCCACTTACGCCCTGACTCCCGGCGTGGTGTTGCTGTGCCTGGCTGTTGCGGATGCAATGTTTATGAGATGGAGGAGGACTGTTGAACTTATTACAGCTCCTGCCTTGGGGAAGTGGCCTTCGCTGCACCGGGGTTATACGGGGCATCTCCATGGGGGGAAAGGTTCCCTCTTGCTCCAACGTTAACTTTGCAATCGTATCCCTGTATTCATCCCGGAGCTGCCTGACTCTCACTACTCCGGCTGCTGGAAGATGGGGACAGGGAACGGGGGGCTCCCTCGGTAATAAATCTGCTGGAAGCTTTCCCAGTTATTGGGGAAAGGACAAGTCTCTAGCGATTCTGCTAACATGTATAAAGGTCATAGTAGCAAAGTCTGCATTTTTCTTCTGAGACTTGTATCGCAATCACGAGATGTACATCAGGCAAAATATCTGTTGATTTTTAGATATCTGGGAATCCATTGTAATGTTTCTTTGGTCAGGGACGAGTGTCAGCTTCTGTAGGTTAATCTGCAGACAGAATGTAATTACCGCGGAGATGTTTTTAAGTATCAAAATACTGTAGCTAAAATAATGTAACTTGGCTGTCCTTTTTGGAGCTTGCCCCAAATCTTGATTTTGCTACACAACTGGTCGACAGATGGTTGGATTGGATTATGCATTGAAATTCAAATCCAAAATTTGTGTGCATTGCCTGTAATCCGTTATTTGACATTTGTATTAGGCTGTGTTTTTTGCTCTCAAACATTAGTTTTCTATTTTAACATTATTTTCAACAAGTTTAGTCAACAGTCTTCTGCCTTCAGAGGCAGTCTTTAATTCAGTGATGTGTTAACATTTAGATTATATAAATATATATCCACTAATAACAGATGCAATCTCTATATGAGCATGATTAAACTAATCACAGTCCAAGATTTTTCACTCTTTCTGGAAGATGTCTGTAATTTTCCATTAATGTGCTACCTGTCCTCTATGTGTTGTATTCTTTGAGGATGTTTTAAAAACAGAAACCTATTTCTTGTTCTTATTTGAATAGCAGTTCTTTGGACATTTAAAAATGTTGCTAGAATAAATTGGCTTCTGTTGCTGCACTAGTACATGTTGTTCAGAACCTACCTTGTGTTCTGCCCCATGAATGTAAATCATTCTGTACATATAATCAGACTCCTGGGTTTCCTCTAGTAAGCAAACAAGATCTCTGTAGTTGGAGGTCAAGTGTCATCATTTACTGTGGCATGTTTCATTTAAGCAGATATGTCTGTTCTGGCTGACTGTATCTGTAAGAGAGAACTGGGTTTACCTCTGCCTGATGGGAGTGGGAATGGCTTGTTTGGAACTTCTTTTCCCAGTTAGAAGTGAAACCAAAACTCTAAAATTCCAGTAGTGTTGGGCTATAACTTGAAAGCTGTGTGCATGAAAAGGAAGTACTGTTAAAGAGGGCAAATTTTGAAAAAATGTAAACACTTCTTCTTATAACAATGATTCTTAATCAGTGCTCAGAAGCTATGCTAACACCTGTGAATAATAATTTAAGTATCCTTTTTGTAAAGAGCCATCATTGTACCACAGATAAGTGTTGCATATGAAATTATTTATGATATCCTCTTAAAACATTGTCTTCATAAAAGTTAGATACATCTTGCACTGTAGTTATTTTGAGAAAAGTCTGTGGAAGTTTGCTATGTGACTGCTACATTTATAGTATAGGCTAAATCCACCCAAGAATTCTCAGCATATCCTGTAATGTACTTTATTTGAACAGGGAGTAACTGAAGATATGCTAAATTAAGAGTCTGGCTTTGCAGAGCCTCTATATAGGTTCTGTATAGATATTGCTGTGCATTTGGAAGGACTTTGAAGCATCGTGCTTTAAATAAAACTCCAGGCAGACTATCAGACATAAAATGCTGGTTTTATAGGCAGTGAAATGTTGCCTGTGAATTAGTAAACAGTTTTCACTATTTCAAAGCATGGTAAATACTAAAACCAAGTACATTTCATTGTGGAACCTGGCAGAGTTATAAACTGTAAGGCAAATCTTTCCTTTTTCTATTTGCATTCTAAATCAAATACACAATGTTCTTTTGGAAATGTTTTGGCTATCCTCCATCTTTACTGCATATGTGCTACAGTTAGACTCTTTTATATAGTGCCTTTTCTTGTGGTGTTAATGTTCCTCTTCGTACTGTACCAGGATGAATTTCTTTTTCAGGAGTGTGGCAATCTGAGAATTTGCCTTCTACTCTATTTTTGCTTTTATTTTTATTTTTAAGAAAAAATGCACCATATTGCGATATGTCAGATCTCTTTTGTACTTTTACGGAAATCTGCAGTTGCCAAATTGACAAATACAGCGTTTGTTTCTGGCTCAAACATATGTTTAGGATTGGGATCTTTTATGATATAATTTTTTTAATGGTAGCTGTTAGTTGCATGCATAGTTAATGCACTGGTGAGTTGAAAGATTCAGTGCTTCAGAAGTGAACTCTCTCAAAATAATTGGTATGGAGAGTGGATGTGATTACTCCTGTACCATAGAGTTACATTTGGTTGTGCAATATTCCACTTAAATTAACTTTCTCCCACCTGTTCTTTGCCCTACGTGTTTCCTACTGGTCACTTCAGTAGCTATGGCCTTGAAGGTCAGAGAAAGAGGAGGACTCCTGTAGCATTCCAAGGTAGCAACAAGTACAATGATAGAATGCTCTTTTTCTCTCTCTCTCTTTTTTTTTTTTAGAAAAGGTTGGTTTTAAACATAAAAATAGGGCCAAAGCTATCTGATGTGACCTGTTAGCCTTCTGCAACCTCTTCAGATACTTCCATATGAAATCTTGAGAGCCCAACTGCTTGAGACAGCTTTACATGTTTATCTGGGTAAGGAGCACATTTGAGAGAGATACTCCAGTGTATTAAGAAACAGGCAAAACCTTACTTAACTTAATTTATTTCAGTGAAATCCAGACACACAAGTCTTGAAGATATTAAAATTCCTTTCAAAACAGAAGACAAAATTACATCATCTGTTGTAATGGAGTTATTGTGGCGCAGAAGTTAAACTTTATATAATTTACCATGATTTATTGGTAAGTTTAGGCTAAGGCAGCCACAAAACACTTAGGAGAGCGAAGGAGTGACTGGGAGATTTGTTAGGATGAAATAGTATGAGAGACAAGTTCTGAGTTGCAGCTGATGTATGTCTGGTCCTTCCATGGGTGCAATTTACTCACTAGAAACAGCCATACTTGTGTTGTTGCTAGAAGAAAAAACTATTATGGGTGTTTGTTAATTGCAGCACATATCTTGTGTTGGAAGAACGTGCTGTTTAAACTGAGCTGTATGGCACCTGTTTGTTTAATATTTTTTTGGCCCCTTCAGAATATTCACCAAACTCCACAAGAGTATGCCCTAATGTAGTTCATTTTAAAATTCACCCATCCAGAGTACTGGATGTCCGAGTCTTTTTTGAAAGATTTTTAACACTGGTTCTTGTTCTGCAGATGGAATTTACCTATTTACCTATGAAGCACTTAGATGTTAAGGTGATGGCACTATAAGAAACCATAAGACAATATGTGCTACTGAATTTCTGTCCTCTTGTTTAAAAACTATAAGGAATTATTTCCTTTCTGTTTGGTATTGATGGACATAGAATGCATGTTGCAGCCCAAATTCTGCATTCTCTGTGAGTTCAGTGGGAAAGGGGTTTGTCTTGTATCTGTAATATAGTGTCATTGTTATTTGAAAGGCTCCCCCCTCCTGTGTTGATTGCACTAGGGAAATCTCAAATATTGAATCATTTGGTAAATACTTTTATAGAGATGGAAAAACTCATCAACCAGAACAGATTTCTGAAAGTAATTTGTGAAACATTTGCAGAGCTTTTAATTGGTGAATGGATGTGCTTCAGTCTTTTATCAAAAGGAAGCAGCTGTTGTAGCCATTGCCAGTGTTCAGTGCAATCCAAAATGGAGGTGTGTATCTCGCATGAGAAACATAAGCTCTAGTGGGCACGGTTTGAACATGGTGGTTCCTAAGTTTGGAATTTAGAATATTGTTCAGTTGATGGACTCTCATCAGAAATTATGGTTGTAGGACCGAATCAAACTCCCCCCCCCCCCAAATTCCCTGGAAATCTTGGAATATCCTAATTCATGCATCAAAAGAAATCCTGTCTTCCCCACTTCCACCTCCCCCATTCTGAGCCCTCCCAAAGAGCTCTGTGTTTTCGGTAACTAAAAAAAGGATAAATAATCCTTTCCGACCCCTTTCCATAATGTTCAATTTCAATGAAGTTATGAGATAGGAAACTCGGGAGTGAACTGAGCAACCGGTAATGTGCTCCAGGTGATGGTAAAGTTGATAGATAAAACAAATGGCCCAATTCGTTACTGAGGTGGCTGCTCTTCTCCTATG